GAGAGAAGAGAGAGAGAGAGAGAGGAGAGGGAGAGAGGGAGAGAGAGAGGGGAGAGAGAGAGGAGAGGAGAGAGGGAAGAGAGAGAGAGAGGAGAGAGAGAGAGGAGAGGGAGAGGGAGAGGAGAGGAAAAGGGAAAGAGAGGAAGAAGGAAGAGGAAAAGGAAAGGGAGGAGGAGAACAAACGGGAGAGGGAGAGGGGAGATGAAGATGGAGAAGGAGAGGGAAAGGGTGAGACAGAGACAGAGGAGAGGGGAAAGAGAGAGACAGAGACAGAGGACAGAGGGGGAAATAGAGAAGGGAACGTTGTTGACGGATAAGGAAATAAAACGCCGATACAGTGAACCGCGAGGAAATTGGGTCGCCGGGAGAGATAGAAGTAAACACAAACCGAACGCAGGAACCAAGATACGAAATAGAGGAGGATTATGAAAGAAATGTCGGGAGGGGAGGGAGGAGGGGAGGGGGAGGAGGGGAGGGGAGGAGGGGCGGAGGGAGGGGAGGAGGGGAGATGGGGAGAGGGGAGAGGGGGGGGAGCCTGAATGGCAAAGAAGAAAGGAATGAAAACAGATGAATAATAGGAAAGTCGTGATCGAGGAGTCATCTGGTCAAATAAATGAGGAAAACGAGGAAAAAATAACACATCCTGCCTTAGGTCCAACATTAGCAAAGAAACCTCTGAATTCCCTTTTTCTATAAGGTATTACGTCCAAGTGTTTCTCAATTACACCACCATCAGGCCGAATAGAATAACAAGACGTAGTGAGACAGGAAAATCAACCTTTTTGTCAGTACATAAATTCCATAAAATTCTCAATTTTCGAGAAGCAGTCACGTAGGCCTGTCTCCCTATGCCGACATAATTTCACTTTAATGAAGAACATCTTGAACATCTTATGAGGAACAATAATCCTACAGAGACACATCCTACCGTGAAAAGACACTGTTCTTTCCTTCGCTTCATATCCACGTAGTACCGAGCGCTGTGTTACGCGACACGACATCAAGCACAGTGCCTCATTATAATGCCGTAATTAGTGGAACTCAAGGACTGTTCTTGTGAAGCGTCCCCTATTCTTTATATATATATTTCTTTTTCATGCCGCAAATTACCCCCAAAAGGATTTACATCATGATAAATATTTTGTTTTGTTTTTTCTTTCTTGCTCTTCAACTCGTGACGACTTACATCTATATCTATATCTAAGACAAATGGAATCACTTACAGATAAACCTAAATAAAAACATGAGTAATTTGTCGCAGCTATGAAAAAGAAAAAAGAAAAAAAACGAAGATAATCCTCTAAACAAATAAGCTTAACAGCGAAAGTGAAAAAACTGATGAAAAACAGACGCTGTCACCAAGACGGCTAAAGAGGAGAGATGACGTAGAGAGCGGGGTGGAGGGGGGGGGAGGGGCGCGAGTGAAACAAGACGCGACACCGAGCAGCTGCGGCCGAGGATATGGTTCTCAAGCAATGCAAGTTCATCAGCCCGAACGACCATTAGTGAGCGAATGTTCGCCTTGGCCGTGGGACTCGGCAATGCAATGCTGCAACTGCACCTCGACGACCTCGGCCGGGCCCCTCGGAGCGCAGGCGGCGACACACACGCGATGAGCACGTCATTAGCTGCTCCCGCTGTTACAACGGAGCCTCTTTTCAACCTGAGGAGGGGGGGGCTCAAGGGGCGCTGCCGCTTGGCTGAAGGGGCCGAGAGCCATGTCGAGGACGGGGATTGGGGGGAGGGGGAGGGTTGCCTTTAAGACCCCTACTGCCCCCCCCCCCCCTTCGATAAAGGGCACTCGGCGAAGGTGCCACGCTCCGTCAGCGCCGATCTCGCGCGGGTGCCGGACTTGTGCCATCTTCAGCAGCGCCCAATAGCGAACTAGTATGCGTCTAGCTCTGCTTTTGTAACAAATCGATCGATTGTCTGACTGTTCTCTGCACCTTCAACGAAAACTATAAAGGCTTGCGTAATGCCATTCTCCTTACCATTATTATCATTATTATTGCCATATTCCTATCTACCATTTAAGGTTCGTCAATCTTTTCACCCATGTATTTCTACGAAAGACCGGTTCTTCAACAATCATTTCCTGTCACGAATAGAAATCGGAACTCGCATCTGCAACCAGAAACCCGAACTCCCTAAATCCACCAAGACCGTCCTCCACGATGCCCGAACCACCAGCACTAATTACACTTCACTAATCAGCCCAACAATATAACAGGTGGTCCCCTTATTCGGCTCTCCCGGTGACATCGAGACCAAAGAGACACTCCTCTTTTGCCTCCAGTCACCAGGCCTTCAGACATCACTCAAACAAACATCGCTCCAACATCCACTGCTCCAACAAACATCGCTCCAACATACTTGAGCGTCGTTTCATTCGCGTCCAAGGATTACATTCGCGTTCGTAAGGTTTCGCGCTGATAAAAAGGCAGAGCGTAATCTCGTGGCACTGTAGCGACTTCGGCACTGGCACTGGGTGGGGGGAGGGGGCGGGGGAGGCAGGCGTTAAGTAATGAACAAGTGAGTTCGTATGTGCGTGCGCATGTCGCCGTGTAACACGAGCACGGAAGGCGTCATTCTTTCCCCCCGAGTTCATCAGTGGCGAAGAGTTGAGAACCTTGACAAGATCAAGTAGGTTAATGACCAAGGCTTAGGGTTAGGGCTCGGCCTCCCCGCGTGAGTGAGTCGCAGGCACTCTCACTCACTCACGCACTCACTCACCCACTCACCCACTCCACCCACTCCACTCACTCACACTCTCTCTCTCTCACACTCATACTCACCCACCACTAACACTAACTCACTCACTCTCTCTCACACTCATACTCACCACCACTCTCACTCATTCACTCAAAACAAACTTCATTCGCATCACCCCCCTCCCCAAGAGAAAGTCTATCCCTACCCCTCATCCCCTCACCCCCCCCACCCTGACCTCCACCGCCCAGCTGATCCTGTCCCCCTCCGACGCCCTGAACCTCCGACGCCCTGACCTCCGACGCCCTGACACCTCCGACGCCCTGACCTGACCTCCTCCCACCTTCCTGTGCCCATCTTCCGCAATGATCCCGGCGTCCTACACCTTCCTGCCGCTTCCCCCGCACCGCCGTCCCCTTTCCTTGCTTTCCCTCCGCGCATCCTGCTGGAGAGCGACTGGAGGTAGCTGAGATAGGCGTGGGTGTGTGAGGGGGAAGGGGGGGGGGCATGTGCGTGTTTGTGTCCGTGTTTGTGCGTGAGTCTGTGTGTGCTTGTATCTGTGTGCGTGTATCTGTGTGTGCGTGTGTGCGTGTATCTGTGTGTGTGTCGTGTGTCTGTGTGTGTGTGCGTGTGTCTGTGTGTGCGTGTGTGTGAGCGCGTTAGAGTGCATGTGCGTGTTAGAGAAAGAGAGAAGCATAGTAATTGAAGAGCGCTAGAGAACCCATGCAAACCACCACCCCAAAGGCGACCAACCCCCTCCCCCCGCCGCCTCCACCCCTCCCCCTCAACCCCGAGCCCCCCCGCCGCCCCCTCAGCCCCGTCCCGCCCTCCAAATCGAGGCAAACCGACGCCCGCATTCAACGCCCCACTTCGTTCACTCCCGCGGCGGATCTCGCGCATAAGAAAACTCCCTCGCAACGTGAACCTTCGTTACATACAGCCCTTCCCTATCGTCACGAATCCTCCTTTCTTTAGTTACGGGACCTAATCTCTTCGTTTAGCACTTTCTTCGGCCCCCGGGACCTCCCCCTTTACTTACAGCACTTTCTTCGTCCAAACATCCCTCTTCCTTATAGCATTTTTTCCTCGTCCTAACACCACCCCTTTCCTTACAGCAACTTTCTCGTCCAACATCCCCCTCTTTTCCTTAGTTCAGCATTTTCTTCGTCGTCTAACACCACCCTCTTACTCTCTACTCGCCTTTCCTTAGCAGGCACTTCCTTCGCTTCCCATAACCCCTCTCTCTCTCTCTCTCTCTCTTCCTTCTTGTTTCTCTCTCAATCTCTCTCGGTGTTCTCTCTATTACATAGCTCTCTTACTCTCTCTACTATCTGTCTATTACCCATCTCCCTTTCGTTATAGATGCCCCTCTGACCATCCTCTTTTTTGCCTCAAGGCTCTCCTTATCTTAATGCCCTCGCGGATAACCCGGTCTTCAAAAATCTGAAATAGCCATGGACGATCATCAATGACAGATGACACCGAGGTGGACAAGAAAACTCTGAAGCTATTTCGGACGATCACGCAATAAGAACCCGGGGACGGAGCCGAGCAATCATCCTCCAGGGTGGGGAGAGGCGGTGCCGTCCGTCCTACACTGCTGTTGTTGGTTGCCGGGTCGCCCCTGTGAACAGGGAGGAGAGGAGGAGGGAGGAGGAGCTAGGAGGAGGGAGTAGAGGGAGGGAGGGAGAGAGGGGGCAAAGAGCAGAAGTGGGAGAGAAGGAGGGGGGGAAGGATAAGGAGGAGGAGGAGGAGGAGGAGGAAGGGAGGAGGAGGAGGAGGAACCTAGAGGAGGAGGGGGAGTAGGAGGAGGAGGATACGAGAACAAGAGAAGGAGGAGGATTATTGGAAGCACTCAAGAGACTCGGAAGAGAAGGAATCCCTCCCTCCCAGAAGCTGACCCGATGGAGAAGAGAAGAAGCCTAGGCCGAGAGGACGAAGAAGAGGATCCTGAAGAGGAGATGAGAGAAGAACGACGAAGAAAAGAAGACTATGAGAAGAGACCTGGAGAAGAAAACTGAAGCTTACTTGGTGATCATAATGACCAGAATGACCGTACAGAAGACAGAGGACGGACGCGCATCTTACACCGTGAACGCCGCCGGAATCAGTAGCAATCATCCTCTCCTTGCTAGCTCCCTCCCTCCACTGCTTGTTTGCTTTATTAATTCATTTACTTACTTGCTTACTTACTTATTACTTACTAAAATTACTTATTCACTCACTCCCCCTCCCTCCCTCCCTCCCTCCCCCTTACCCTCCCCTACGAAAAAAATCCTTCCCAATCTTACCTCCTGCAGCACCTGGTCGTCCTTCTTGGTGGAGAGGTTGAGGTAGCGCTCCTGCGACTGACAGAACTTCTGCGTCTGCTTCTCGAACTTCTTCCGGCCCTCCTTCGCGCCCCCGATGGCCTCCTTCCGGAAGTTCTCCAGGGGCCCGATGATCTGCTCGTAGGACCGGTCCAGCTGCGGAAAGCCAAGGGGATGCTGAGGCGCTTCATATCTTTCGTCATATCGATTTTTTTTACACATTTTTCGTTGCATTTATTCGCTATCATTCACAATCCTAGGAGTAATACGAACACTAATACCCCTCCCCCCGACTATTAAATTACGTTACACTAAGCCCCTGCGTTAACCTCTATTACCCTATAAGAACCCTTAAGCAACATGTAAAACAGAATTCGCTCTCCCACTTTTACTCCAAACAAAACAGCGGGACGCCCATCGGAAAGCATCGGCACTTTTTTTACCATAACCTTTACATCGCCGCCCCTCCCCTTCCTCAGGCATTCTTCCCTATGTATAAACCTTTTATGCCTCACCTTCAGCATAATAATGTACGTATTTCACCTAAATATTACCTCAATGCCCCATCCTCCTCAACATAAAACGCACATATTCCACTACCTCTGACCCAAAAAGTACGCCTTCCACCTAGGTATTACTTCAGCACGCACGCCTTCCACCTAAGAATTAACCTCGCCGCCCCGCCCTCAGCATCAAACGCCCAGGGGAACTCGCCCGGGGGAAGCAAATACCCTGAAGAGCAAACCACGCCGCCACCGAAACGCCAGTGAGCTCAGCAGCAGCGGTGACTCACAAAATCCACACTCCGTTTTATAAAAAAGAACCGCATTAAACAAGAGTGGCTGTTGTGGCTTACTTCATGAAGATGATAAAATGGCATGCTGTCATCCCGGCCTCCTAATATAACTCGGGGAGGACGTTTTTACAGAGGAAGGGCGTGGGGGGGGGGGGGGGACATGCAGGGGCGTCGCAAGGGAATAATAGTAGCCACTGAATTATACCAGAAAAAAGGGAAATCTAAAAACAGGCAAATAAAAAAAATTATAATCTAAAAAAGAAATACTAAAACGACATAAAAATGGAGATGAAAAAATAAGGGATATGCAAACGAAGAAATAGAAACTCCAAAATTGAAATATGACGAAAAGAAGGAGAGACTAAAAAAAAAAAAAAAAAAACAATGCAAGGAAATGCAAACGACTTACTTCTCAAAGACCCCACCAAAACATCAAATATGACGAGAAGTAGAAAAAAATCATCCCCCAAAAGGAAAAATAATCTTGAAAGAAAATTCCGCCCGACTCACCATTCTCTCCCGCTCGTCCTCCACCATGTCGATGATCTGGGCGAACTCCCTGAGTGATCCCCCGATGACTATCTCGTCTTCCGTCTGACTGTTGCCGATGCATTCGAACTTGAAGCGCTGCAGGTTGTTGCTCAGGTTCCTCTTGGCCTTCGATAAGTCTGCGGGGACAGAACGCCACACATTACACACGGACAATTTGAAACAGAAAACGTACAGTAGAACACATAGGGTAAACTCTGCTATTTTGCTTGTTATGAAATATAAACGCTGGTATAATTTATCTAAGAGTGTCATGCATTGAAGTCTTTGAGACCAACCAGCAGAAGGCACTGTACAAGAAATTGTGATTACTTTTCCTCTAATACAAAAGGACTTCAAGTAGGCCTACGTCTTGAGGCTAGTTTGTTGGGAACGGGCTTGTAATAATAAAACCATGTAAAACAAACTAAATAATACATATGAAAATGAAAATTATTATAAGGCATAGTACATAGAAAAATGGGATAAATATTAGTTACTATATAAGATACATCCAACTGGTTTGTGATACATCAAACCAGAAAATGACTCGCAATGAAAAATGTTAGAAAAAAAAATGCATTAGATGATTTTGTGCTAGCAGGATTTTGCACTGTATACGAAAGTCACCTTTGCAACAGAACTAAACCTGCAACATAACACGCCCGCGCAGTTGCCGTGAATGGTCACTAAAAGACAAATTTAAGCTAAACAACAACGCTTCTGCTCCTATCGCCAATTTCAGTTTACTACAGTATTCACGTACACTTCAAAAGCCAAGTTTAAGGGAATCGATTTCTGTAATTCCTAGCTCTGATTTGTACGTATCCTGCATCTGTGCATACATTTGCAGAATGGTTGATATTTTGCGTGAAAACAGACACAGACAGGGAATGTATAATATTCACATTTTAGAAGTCAATATAATTCCATTTTATATTTCTTAAATAACAAAAGTTCTAAAGCATATAAACAAATCTGATAGATCTTACATAGTAACCGTTCTAAAACATTTAATAGGATCTTATATAGTTGCCGCTCAAAAATATCTAGTGGCATTTTATATAGTTACCGCTCTAAAATGCACAGTACAATTTTACGTAGTTACCGCTCTTAAATGTCTAGTAGCCATTTTCTGTGCATTGTGAGCTTATATTAGAAAACGTACGCAGTCAACGTTTTATGGTGAACTAAAATAAAATTTTAAACACCAGTTCTATTCAAAAGCTTAAGTTTTTTCTTTTTTAAGAAGTGATTATGGTACTCAAAATAGCAAATATCAAAACCAATAACAATAGAGTAATAACAAGAACATTAACAACGACAAAAATCATAGTGAAACAAGTAGTAATAGTAGTAATAGTAATAGTAATAGTAATGGTAATAGTAATAGTAATGGTAGTAGTAGTAGTTGTAGTTGTAGTAAGAAGAAGAACAACAACAACAACACCAAAAAGAACAAGAAGAACAAGAACAAAAACAGGGAGGAGAAGAACAACAACAAAAGTTACAATAATAACAGCAACAACAATAATAACAACAAAGATAATAACAATAACAACAACAAAGATAATGACAATAATAACAACAAAGATAATAACAATAATAACATCAACAATATTAACAACAATAATAAAAACAATAACAATAACAACAAAAATAAAAACAACTACTATCATAAACTTCATTAATAATAATGGTAGTATAGTATTATCATCATGACAATAATAATGGCAACGATGATAATGATGACTGTGATCACCACTTCTACTGCAACTACTACTACTACTCTTACTACTACCTCTGCAACTACTACTTCTACCAGTAATACAACTCCTACCATTACCATTACCATTACTACTACTACTACTACTACTACTACTACTACTACTACTACTACTACTACTACTACTACTACTACTACTACTACTACTTACTACTACTACTACTACTACTACTACTACTACTACTTACTATTTAATATTAATAATAATAATAATAATAATATAATAATATAATAATATAATAATATAAATAACATAACGATAATAATACCTCTGCAACTACTACTACTACTCTTACTACTACCTCTGCAACTACTACTTCTACCAGTAATACAACTTCTAATGCTAATACTAATAATACTAATAATACTAATACTAATACCAATACTAATACTAACACTACTACTATTATTACTACTACTACTACTACTACTACTACTACTACTACTACTACTACTACTACTACTACTACTACTACTACTACTACTTTCAGCACAGCTATGGTGATAGTAGCAATAATAATAAAAAGAAGAAAGAAGAAGAAAACAGTATCAATGATAATAATATCAAAAACACAACAACAAATATACTGACACTATTACTGATAACGATGGTGATGTCATGATCATAAAAATAATCATAACATCAATAAAAAAAATAACTATAGGACAAATTTGTCTCTAAATTAAAAAAAAAATGATTTCGAAGGCATTATCACGAATCCCATACACCCAGCTTACAATGAAGGCTCAAAACTTGTTCCCGCATTATAAACAAGTACACCAAGCAGCGCCCAGACCCCCCACCCCAACCCGCTTCACCTTCCCCCCTCCACCCCCCACCCGCCCGGTAATAAGTCCCGGATAAGATGGCCCAACAAGACGCGGCCATCACGCGGGCCATTGGCTAAGCGATAACGAGACCCAGGAATTATGCGGCATGTGTGACCTAAATGCTGGAAGTCCCCTGACCTCCTAACGCCACTCGTCTGGATGAACTTTTTTTTTAATCTCACGCCATCTCTCCGCTGGGGAATAATCGATTTTAAATCATTTAATAACGCAAACAAATATGTAGCCAACTCTTAGAAGAAGGCTGAAATACATGCACTCAACAATTCGAAGGTATCAATCACTGTCTTTTTTATTGGTACCCTCAAGTCATCAATACCACAGGACTGAACCCATAATCGGTACGGTCACCCCCCCCCTCCCACCGGCGGACAGAGGGGCTTGTGGTCCCGCAGGTCACACTCCCCCCGCCGGATTGCCTCCAGGGCATCTATCATTTAGACTCCGATATCAGCGACTTACTGGTAACTCTGTGGACAAAGCGCCACACGCACCACTCAAGATCTATGTAGTTGTTTGGAGAGACATTGCAAAATGTTGCAGCATTGCAGGAAGTGGTAACGTATGTCCATGCAGGCAGGGAAGGGGGGTGCTATATGACAAGTATAAAACATTGCAAAGAAAAGTAAACGTGTAAATGACTTGCGTGGCGATGACGCTGAGAAATGACGTGCCATGACATCCACTTCGTGTGCCGGAAAAAATACGAACTACGGGGGCACAGACACGTCACAAAGGGAGGGGCGTTGGTGGAGAAAGTACAAAGCTTTGCACAGCAGCCACTAACAAGGATATATGGCAGACTGTACGAAGATGACAGCCTACAATAAACACCTGCGAAATTAAACCAGAAACGGTTTGCAGACGACTCGAATCAAAATCAGATTCCCGTAAACAAGTCCTAAAAGTACAAAATAAAAATTCTCCTGAATCCCACACTGACAATTGTTAGCTTACAGGCCCAAGATGCGCACCTGCGCCCTCTTCACACACGTGTTCCACACACCTGCATCATGACCCGAAACTCTTTTGTAGGTCACAGTTACATTCACATGGGTAAACGAGTCTAAGGAATAAGTCGCATATTTAAATCTTTAAATGGAGTGTAATTATTCTTGTGTCATGTCTGTGAAGAAAATTCGAGAATTATAGAGGATAAATGCGAATCCAAAATACGACTTTAAGCAATGAATACGCGAAATCAGTCACGCACCAAGTCGACCAAGGAAGTCTCAAAGCAAGGGAAGAGAGAGCCCGAAGTAAAATGCATATATTCTATAAAGCCTCCTTTCATCGGTTCTAAAAATAATCAATAAATGAATTGGTAAAAAAAAAAAGTACAGCGACACAAGAATAACTTAGCGCACTTCCTATTCTTTGTAGCTATTACAAAGAGGCAGGAAACAGGACATCTTCAGCGTCCTAATCCAAGACATGATATAAGACGCCCAATTAGGTTCTTAAAGTTTGTTTGAGATCCTACAATCGCCTACACGACAAGATTCTTGGCCACGCGTTTTTTTCACAGCTCATGCATAAAATTACGAATAAACTGCTAAAAACAGAACAACGTTGGACAACCCATGCATAAAGTCGCCGATAAAAACCTACGAACAAAACAACGTTGAGCAAATCGTGCATAAAGCCACCGATAAAGAAACGTAATGATAGAACAACGTTGTTTCTACCTAAGCCTATACACAGTACACAACCATGGTTTGTTTCTGCGCAAGACGTTAAATCGTTTCACTCTTGCTGCAAAGGGCATTGCGTACACGCTGTGCGTGCCCTAAACTCCACCTTTACCTTCTAATACCCAGGTTTGACCTTGTTGGCTATCTACCGTTGAGATTCACTTTCTACTTTTCTAGAATTTCTGTGCGTGTGGTTCCACGTTTTCCACATGCTCTGTCTTTCATAAAAAAAAAAAAAAAAAAAAAAGATAAATTACCCAAACACAAAAACTTTACAAGCTGTACCGAAATGTACAGCACTGTCTTCTCATGCCCGATTTTAGAGCGCGCATGGCACCCGAACCACAGCCGTCAACGTCCGGGCGAGGCATCCAGTCAGCAGCAAAGCACCGGCGCGCTCCCGGACCCAGAGGGGCAAAAACACCATTGAGCTCTCTGACGACATCAATTTCCCCCGCGGGCGCAAACATGCGGTTGCGTCATGGCCCACACGCGATCGGACGCAGGTGGAGCGTCCCCCTCGCTGCCAGCTTAATGAGGAACAGCCTGGACATCAATCGAATGACGAATCGGCCCGCCACCATCTGGCCGTAAAACAACGTCAAGGCACCTGACCGTGATCTCCCTCTCGATAAGGGCGAGCAAGGTCAACAGCTGACCCGGTGCGAGCAACATGCTTCATACCAGCATCCTACCGCCTGATTTTCACGATACAATAAACTACTTCTCTAAATCGCAAAATCTAAGCGAGTCATTTTACAAACGCGTAAACACGCAACTACTAATCAAAACACGTCTTCAAGCCCGTACC